TTACAGTGTGCTGGAATTGTCGACAATAGCCAGGAAATAGCCACTAGCTTATCTTTGATTGACCACTACATGAGTGTAATTAGTTTACAACAAAGTCTTACGTGAAGGAGATTAATCCATAGTTTTTAAGTTGTAACTATACTTTTACTGCTAAGGAGATGCTGGATCTAGAAATGACCAGTTAGAACTTCTATCTACCGTAAGCATCTGACTTCGATGCACAATACCTGTACTTTGATGCTACTAGCATTTTAAAGAAACCTTTGAATCAAATACAATACACACTGGAGAGTATTTCTTTATCTACATGTTATATAAGCGATTTTTAAAAAATGATGTTTGCATCAGTAATAGTTGTCTTTATTTTCTCGACAGAGTGTAAGGTTGTGTGAAGTGGTGCTTAAAGATAATATAAAAAAAGAAGAGCATGATTCTTGATTCTTAATTTCTTGTAGTGTAGCAAAAGTATCTTATGTTGGAAGATGATGTCAGCATTTGGTTTATGAATGGCCATTTTACAGCCTCAGAATAAGACGGGTGGAGAGGGTGGAGCACTACCAGTGCCTTGTATTTAAACCGCTCCAAGGTTTACTTAAAATTACAGTTCTTGCATGTTATCTCTTGAGTGTTTTGCTGCTGTAACAGATGCAGCATTATCATTGGTCACACTTAAACATTACAGCTGTCTAAAGCCTGCTGCCTTGAATCTTAAGGGAAATGTGTTTCACAGTTATTCTAAAGCCAAGATAAATTATATGTATTTATTTATTTTAACTTGTGAATAGAAATATGTTTTTAAACCCTAATAATAAGAGAGACTACATGGTAAATATTCTTAAATACATACCACAAAGTATCTAAAATTAATAATGAAGTAGAATTACAGACATATTGTTAAATTTGTGGGGTTCCTGTCTGTGACGCTGTGATAAAAATATAGGCTGAAACAAATCAGCAGATTATATGAACATTTTAAGTAAGATGCATTTGTAATAATTCAATGGAACAACAAATATCATGATTTCTGCTAATAGGAATAATTATAGTCATAAAAGTAATAAACATCTTAGTGTAATATTTAAGAAATTTGCAGATTTTGATGATTTAAGAACACTAACATGTAAAAGTGGTCATTACCATGCTTATTGCCTCTACTAAAAACAGCTGCTTAACAGCCTACCTTTCAATATTTGATTTTGTGAGTCCTTCACAAGTATCTGCGTCTGTTAACTTTTTACTTTTCTTCACATATTTTCCACCATTCTTTGAAGAAAGCCCTCACGTTGCACACAGCTGTGTCTGCAGGTGTACGAGTGAAGCCAAAGATGGTGACAGTTTCTCTGCTGTCAGAGGGCTCTGCCACATCCAGTATTCTGCCTGCCTTCACACACTTCACCTGCTACAGCTGTGTACATGACTGCCAGAAAGAGAAACAAACAGCTACCTCATCCACTAAATAGTGGATGAGGTAGCTGTTGAAGTAAACAGAGCTATCCCTCCTGTATTTCCTAGGTAACCGAAACAAGGACAGGCCCTCTCGGCTGCAGTAACTACGACAGCTTGGATTCAGTTAGCTCGGTGTTGGTGCACAGCCCGGAAAATAAGATCCACCTAAAGGGTAAGGCTCACAACACACACACACACACACACACACACACACACACACACACACACACACACACACACTTCCCCATATACTATGTTTTAAATTCATGGAAACACACAGCCTCTGCCCTGGAGGATCCACTTATGGGATAAGTTTTTTCTTCTTTTTGTACGCACACACTTGAACTCACACATTTCTGCCACCTCCATCCACCACCATGCCAAGCCTTTCGCCTCCAGTGTTGTAGTAGTTGGCCAGGATGACCCTTTACTTTACGCTGCAGTAGTTTATATGTCTGTTTCTGCCTCAGTGGCGTTCAGGCTCACAGAGAATCTGTTATCTTACCAAGGCTGTAGATGGAGCATGTCTGGCCACACTGACCTCAGCCTAACCTTTCCTTACCTGGAGCACTCAGTTCACAAGTAAAGCTGAAGTGTTAATGTGTAAAGTAAAACACTGTTTGCTTATATTTATCACCAAATTATTAGTGAATATCATGACACTCATCCCTCTGTACTGGGAGTGTTTCCTTGTTGATCCTCATGCTAAAAATTAAGGGGGGTCATCAGCTGATGCAGCTCATCTGAGGGTTCTTAGGCTCTAAGATGATGAGGATATAATGTTGCACTCTTTTTGGCTCCATCCCGCATCATGAACTTTCTCTGTTCGTGTTTTGTAAGTTTATGTTTATTAAAATATCTTTTATTTAAGCTAAGGTCTTGTCTGAACATATGAAATGTGTAGATACAGTAAATTACTATAGTTTCCATTGGTGATTAATAAAAAGTCACATTTATGCTGGTATTTCTCTTCCAGTAAACTGTCCTATTTAGAGCTTTACATGATTAAAATAACCTGTCATGGATGTGTTGTTTAAGCTTTAATGCCTTAAGGTTTCCCCCCTTCATTTTATTCGTCTTTTGTTCCTACCTTGCTTGTTGTCATCATCTTGCTGACTTATACTTACTGTTTTGAGTACTCTTACTTTTTAGGTTTTGAATGAACTGTTCTACACACCAGTTTGACTAAGTAATTCTTAACCTATCATCCACTTAAATCAGTTCGGGGGCTGAACTAAGTATTTAGTCAGCCACCGATTGTGCAAGTTCCCCCACCTAAAATGATGACAGAGGTCAGTAATTTGCACCAGAGGTACACTTCAACTGTGAG